ATATATATATTATATATATATATATATATATACAAATAAATATATATATTAATATATATATATATATATATATATAATATATTTGAGAGAACGAACGAAAGAAGAGAGAGATAAAGAGAGAGATAGAGAATATAGAAGAGAGAGAGATGAGAGAGAGGAGAGACAGAGAGAGAGAAGGAGAGAGAGGAGAGAGAGAGAGAGAGAGAGGAGAGAGAAGAGAGGAGAGGAAGGGAGAGAGAGAGAGAGATAGATAGATAGATAGATAGATAGATAGAAGAAGAAGAGAGGGAGAGAAGAGAGAGAGAGAGAGAAGACGAGAGAGAGAGAGAGAGAGAGAGAGAGAGGAGAAAGAGAGAGAGAGAGAGAGAGAGAGAGAGAGAGAGAGAGAGAGAGAGAAGAGAGAGAGAGAGAGACGGAAGGAGAGAAGAAGAAGAGAGAGGAGAGAAGAGAGGAGGAAAGAGAGAGAGAGAGAGAGAGAGAGAGAGAGAGAGAGAGAGAGAGGAGAAGAGAGAGAGAGAGAGAGAGAGAGAGAGAAGAGAGAGAGAGAGAGAGAGAAAGAGAAAGAGAGAGAGAGCCTTGTAGACGTCATAGAGCATTCAACATTGATTTGTTTGGCCGAAGCATTCACTCTCGTTTCGCCAACAGTTAAATGATTTCATGATTGAGGTTTACATGCGTGTCACTCTGGACTTTCTGTGGCTTTCTGTTGTCGGAAAATATTCATAAATACCAGGGAAATTCGATGTCTAACATAATTATATTTTGTTATCTAATTTCATTCTCATTCTGTGTCGTTAGCAGTAGCAATGCATGGCCTTGGATATTGGGACTAATAATGATGAGGTTATTAATCATATGAAAAAGCAGCAAACATATATCTATTAATCCTTTTGAGTGAAAATGGAACAGAGGGATGGAAATTAAAAAGGAAAATATTTGATATCCCAAACAGAAAGCTTTTTAATTCCTTGTTTGCGATGCAGCCTCATAAAATACAAAAGTATCACGGTATTTATTAAAGAAAATTAGGACCAATTCTTCAGCAGTTTTTATTTGAAGAATCAAAAATCATTAAAGATAAAAATATATCCTAGGAGTCCAAATCGGGGAGATACTCATGTCTGACCCGTCCCACCGCATCTTAAATACAGAAACCTACCCTCGACGTATTACATTCAGTAAATCCGAAAATCTGAAATAAATTCCCTCAAAAGAGAAATACATCCATAGGTCGAAGCGAAGAGAAGCTGCTCTTTCGACCACTCCATCCCCATCAAGAAACAGGAAAACCAACCCCGCAGCCACTATTACAATGAATAAGCCCAGTAATCCACAAATAAAATCGCCCAAAACATAAATAAATCCAATCGTCTCAGCGTGGAGGAACTACTTTGCGACGCGGAGGAGCCAAGTCCGCGAGTGCGTGGCATGGTCCTCCCGGCTTGATATCGCTGCGCCGAAAGGAAGGTCGTGGTCCCTTGACGCGCTCGAATTTTCTTAATTTCCGGACAGCATTTTCCATCTTCAAGGCAACGGGATGTACTGGAGTGGTCTCAGGTGCGTAGAGAAGGGCCAGGAGAGGTGCAAGTGCAAAGATAGGACTTATTTACAGAGGAAAACGAGGTGGAATAAGGGGAGACCGGGGCTAAGCGTGCCTTAATGCGCATGGTAAGGCTGCGCACGAGGTTGATGTTAGGAAAGCTCAATTAATACCTTTTTTAGCGCCTTGGACGCCATTTAGCCTGCCGAGCAAGGGTCATTATTGCAAGAAATTCGCCGGAGTTAGCAGGGGCAGGAGAGGGAAGGGCGCCAAAGGGCAGAGGAAAGGGAGAGGAAGAGGCTGCCTACAGAGAAGCGAGTTTATTGATCAAGGGATTTTTTCCTTCATTTTCCCCTCAATTTTTCCCCGTTCGATCACAGGGCCGTTTGGTGTCCCTGAATATAAACCTTTGGAAGTGTCCTACGTCCATGCCTATTATTTTTGCTGGAATTACCGAGGGAGCGATTATTTTAGCGTGTTTGGGTGATGTTTGAGGGGAGGGGGTGGGGGGGATTTTAACGAGGAGGGGGAGGAGGAAGAAGAAAAAGATGTTTTCGCGTCCGTTACGATAACAAGATGTCCAGGGGAGGTGTGTGATTAAAGAAAAGGGGGAGGGGTTGGTTTTTTAATGAAAGGGTTGGAACAGGAAGGAAGGAAGGAAGGAAAGGGGTGTCCATTGAGATAGTTTTTCTCTTCAATAGGTAAATGATTTTTTTTTTCTGTCAGTCTACAGTAATTAGGCCATGAAAGTGTTTTTAGGGTTTCACTTGCCCTTAAAGTTTGTTTTTTCATGTTCATATGACTGGAATTGGTCTGTTTTAAAATCCAAAGAATGATTGATTCCGCTTGATGTTTAGTGTGCATTGAAAGTGGTTTAGTCCATTCTAGGCAATGATGATGATACAAGAACCAAAAATAGGGAGGGATAAAGTGTCTTTTGAAAATGGTAAGGTTAGAGTATGGGGCATATTGTCAAGAGAGCCTGGACAGATCTGCAAGACACCCAAGGGCTCTGCAAAGTTGGTTAGGAGATATCAATAGGTATTTGTTGATAGATTTGATGGATTTTAAGATCTGGTTTTATTCTAGAACTTTACATCATAGTATTTGATTAGCCAAGCAGAAAGTGATAAACATTGTATCAATTTCTGCCTTATTACCAGTAGGATGCATATAACAAGTTAACCTTATGTTAATCTACTTGTATTGATGATGAAAGTTTCGGTATTGGTCAAAATTCTGCCAGCCGCCTTTTAGACGAAAAATAACATATGCAAATGATAAAGCGAGTGATTCTAAGAAACTTTTCTTCTATGTACTTCCGTCGCAGCTCAAAACTAACGAAGTTATTGGACACATAAGTGTCCGTGAGCCCGTTATGAAGTACTATCTCAATATTTTAAAAATCGCCATCCGATATCCTTTCCTGTCTTTTGTAAACAAAACAATGATGCCGTTTCATTTTTGTACAATTATTCTAATCACCGAGATTCGTGCGTAGATAATGCCCACATAACGGTACACGAAGCAGATTTTGTGTCTGTATCAATATATATGACAATAGACCAGTAATACTCACATAATATTGAGTATTTACAATAACAAGTAAATTTCTTGTTCTGCGCAAACCGATGTGCCTCACCCATATTACGAGCAAAAGGGGCCTGAAGAAATGCGCGGGATTTTCAAAAAAAAAATGTTATCGCCTGAATTGCGAACGAAACATTTTGAAATATTTATTCGACACTACATGCGCGTGACATTGTCACGAAAGCCAATAGTATTACAGGAAATACTATTAACCAATCACGAGACACCGTGTGTGGAACAGGTATGTATAGTGGTAGAGTAAAGAATTAAGAATCGGCGATATTAAATGAATCGTGTGTCAAAGAGTAAGACAGGAACACCATGCTTAACTAGCAATTACTGGCAAGGTAGCGATTATACTGTATGATAAACGGCGACAAATCCTGGCCAATGAAAACTGAGGAAAATGACGTCAGTATTTCTTGACCAATCAGAACTCGCTATTTTCGGAAAGTGTGCACCGGACAAAAAAAAACGTTCAGTGTCTGTCTGTCAACTGTGTGAGAAGGGTTTGGGTGTGAAATGTTGGAAAATATATAGCCGGCTGAAATGTTGATAAATCGCTATTTGCATTTTTCTGCAGAAAAACTACAACATCAACAATATTTGACTAAGTATACGGAGGTACGGCAATAGAAGGTTAGTAAGATTTAAATAGATTATAACGAGAACCGGCATATTACACACATTGCATATTGCACGAATATATATATACTCAAATATTTATAGAGTGCAACTAATTCTTTGTCTTATTTTACAATAAACGCAGGCAGATTATTAACAAACGCAATATTAATGATAAATATTAAACGTTAATTTCTTTTGTCTGTTGCATACATCGCCTTTGAATCGGTGTACAATAACCGCGCGCGCAATCAAATTGCCATAACGAATGGGGACCAGGATGACGTTGCGGGCATGTCACGGAAAAACTTCTGATGGGCGGGTCTCAATCTCAATCTCAACAATAATGAGCAGGGCGCTAAATGAGCGCGGGTGACGGAAAAGACTCGCAACGAGTGCACAAACCTTTTGGGAGTGTGATTTGTCTCGATTTGCGCATAGAAGGGGGCTCTAGCATTATTCCCATCGATAAACTAATGTTAAATGTAGCGTGCGACAGCAATAACTGAAAGAGCGGTGGCTCCATGGAGGACGCCGTGTCCATGCTGCGCAACCGTTCCTGCCCGATGTGAGCAGC